TATGACACAGACCATAGACACACCACACGCCCGCGCACATGGACACGATCTGCTTGCTTTTCTGGCCACTTATATATTTTATACGCACTCGACGAGGTGCGAGATGCTTTTGATATCATTGGCTTTTTCGTTTTCATTTTTTTCATATTTCCAATTTTGATTTCCATCCCGGCTTCGAATTTTGGTCTTCTTCTTCATCATTTATTTTTTTTCTTTTTTGCCTTTGGTTTGGATGGATATAAGGAATCAGGAAATGCGGGCAAGGAAGAAAAGAAGGTAGATACAAATACTACCTCGTGGAATTCGGAGTTAACTAGCTCTTATGTCTTTATTTTATTTTATTTTCTATTTTTCATTTTTCATTTTATTTTATTTTATTTTATATTTTTTTCTAAATTTTTTGATTCAATCCATTTCTTCATTTTGCTTTTTTCTGGCTGGATTTTACAACAACTCCTTTTATTTATTGACCTGATACCAACCGACTCGATATGAGTTCCCATGTTCTCCGCAACTATACTTCTTCTTTTTCGCCTTTCAGTCTTTCCGTTTATATATATATATATATTTGTTTTGGCTCGTTTGGCAGCCATCCGTCCCTGCCTTTCTTCTTTGTTTTTTCCCTTACCAATGTTTGTGCAAGCCATATGATATAACTACTGCAGACTCGTCCGGCTTCCCGGGTCCTTTTGTCATGTATTTCGTTTCTCTTCTTCTTCTATTTTTTTTCACTCTCAGTTTTAATCTATCCTCTTCTTCTCTCATTCCTCATTCTTCGTTTCTCGCCTTTTTTCACTTCGCCCTCTATACATCCGTCCCAACCTATTAAAATTGCTTCATCCGCAATCGAGAACGGTACCAGACATACCATGCTATCCATGGATCTACCTATATACCCTATACCCCCAATCAAGGCGCCCGCTCATATCTATCGACTTTTTTTCTTCTTCTTTCCTTTTTTTATTTATTATATTCTTTTTGAACTTCTTACCTTTCCATGACCAAGCTGCCATGCCCGCGTGGTGCTTGTTCATATTCAATTTACCCCTTTTTAATGAAAGAAAAAGAAACCAAGAAATGATGAGAATGAGTAAGAAATAATACATAGTTTGTCACACGTGTATAGCATTCTCAATACGTAGGTTGATTTAGATATCGGCAAATCCTAATCCCGCCAAAAGAAATGAGAGGGGAAGATTTGGTGGACGAGCTGTGCTGGCGAGAGGCTCCTATATATATATATATGTATATAAACCCTGTATCTGATTTTATCGCACCATCAAAACTGACCAACCAATCAATGTACAGTACACAGATCTGTCTGTACAGTACATATCAAGGTATCCCTCGCCCCCCATCATGAACTTGAACGGAGGGGCATCTCGCCCTCGAAATCGAACACTGCCTGTCAACAGCGTCAACCCCCTAGTTAAGCGCCCGCCCAGCATGACTAATGACCCCGTCGTCATTAACTAGCCGCCCAATCGGGCCTGCGGTGGCTATCCACGCCGCGTGATTGGCCCACGCTGCCCAGGCCCCAAAGCTCCTTTCGTCGACGGAGCAAGTTCCAAGGTTTGAGTGAAGCTACTT